TCACTTCGTTGTATTTTGGCGAGGAAGAATTCTTGGGGGTCAATTGCTTCTTGTGGAAAGATCTTAACGCATATGGATTTATTTCAAAAGCTTCCGGGCAATCTTACAGAACGTCTCGTGAATATTGATTCAGGTAAGGTGCGACCCATATTTTTATGATGTAATCTGAATAAGTTTGACATTATGTTTTCAAAAAAAATACACATTCTTGTGCGAATATTTCTCTTAAAGTGTCAAATTTCTGGCTGCTCGAGTTTCCTGATGTTATCTATTTTAGTTTTCCCTGTATACCGAGATAACAGAACTTCAAGATCGATTAGTGAAAGGATTCATTTTTGTTCTAATTATCAATGAAAAGGATATTGTATATTGACTGGAAAAAAAACATTCTCAATAAACTGGCAAAAACTCTTGGAGGCAGTTCCGAAATGTCACAAACCTTTGAATTTTTTCTTTGCTTTCGTTAGGCATTTTTGCCCTTCAATACTCTTTTGCATGATGATTTTCTTTTATTTCCATCCACAAAAGCACTTGATAATGATTCAATAATAATAATAATAATAATAATAATAATAATAATAATAATAATCACGTCTGCGCCCTAGTGTACTACACAGTACAATATAAACATTAAAGTTCTACTTTGGATGTCTTGTATGTCGTACAATCACAATGCCAGGAAGATACATCATTTCTCTATGCAATCAAGGAATGATACCTTTTTTTTCTTTCTTCAGACATCGATCACCGGCATTCTTATTATTACGTCTCCTATTATCCCTCGCACGCAGCGCAGCCCCCGCCCACGCTCATCTCGGAAGCAAACATCCGCTCGTCTGCAGTGCGACGTGGGCCGCTTCGTTCGGTTCCGTTCCGCTGCCCCGCGCTGCGCGGCGTTGAGCTGCCGTGAGAAATTCCAACGCTCTGCGGCGCTCCGCCGGCCGAATGACGAGCGCCAGCGAGCCGCTGTGTCCAATTGCAAAGGAGGAGGAAGGAGGAAGAAGGGAGCGCCTGCCGGTCCTCCTCTCGCGCGGCTGATTCCGCGAATGCAGCTCCCGGGAATTTCCGCGCGATGCCTCGCGTCTGGCGCTGCCTCCCGGCCAGCGACTGCTCCCGCCAGGAAACAGGCGGAATTCGACTCTTGCAACGGTTTTCTCATAATTGAGGTGATAAATCACAAGTAAAGACGGGATTTACACAATGAAATTTTATTGGAACAACATGAGAAGTTTTCTTTTACTTTAACAACAAACTAATATGATAGATGTAAATTATTCTCTCTTGAAACTAAACACGTGATATATATATTTATTCACACACGAGAAACGGTAAAGATTAATGGAAATTATATAGTATTTGATAAACTAGATGTAAAGGGAAGTTGCACCACAAAGGTTCAATTGCATTGAAATCGAATTGTAAAGATTAGTATTATTCCAACATTATTATTAAAACGTTTGATGGAAAGAGTTTTATGAATACCGAGTATCAGCGACTGGAAACATTCTACTACTATGAATTAGAAAATCTATTGTTCGATTTGGCTTCACGTGCAGCAGAGCTTCACGTGCTTCACGAGCATCATAATTGTACATTTTGTGCTCTGTAAATTAATACAAACGAGTATTTAATTGACCTTTGCCGCCCGCATACCATTCCCGCAATCCGAAACAATCCTGATGGGGCATCATTTATATAATTTTGCTCGAAAATCACTTCTCTGGAGCATCTCAAACTTCATCACAAAATGTCACACAAATATTCTCTCTTAAAGAAGTGTTTAAACACAGCGAAAAACGTTTGATGAAAAAGCATACATCTAGACTAAAAGGACTTTCAAAAAATAACGATTCACTCTACCAACAAACGTCCTTCTCCCACGTTCATCTGTCGACGCCAAAGAGTGTTCCTAGAAACGTCACCCAAATCACGTCCCCTAGTGCGGTCATCTGTACCATTGAGTTGCGGCTCTTAAGCAGCAGGGGCTGACGTTCCGTGAGTCAAGTGGCGAAGACTTTGTGGTTAGTCAGCGCCTTCCACGAAAGCCTCGATCCCGTTCGCGCACTCTCGATCTAAAACTCGAGAGCTGGCGAGCGGAGCGGCAGGCGTGGGTGGTGAGGCCACACATCACCGGGGCTGACTCACCACGCCCGGCGCATTCCAACGCCGCTCCGCCCGCCTTTCTTTATTCTCGGCAAGCGAAATGAAAGGCTTTTTCATTTCATCCGAAACGATAGAGACCAAAATGGTTGCCAAAACGTTGCTGAGAAGAGGCCACATACGATGGGACGTTCCTTTAGACATTTGTCTGATCTATAACGTTATAGTATTTAAGATTTGAAACAGGGCAATGCGAAATAAATCTAGCGTCTCACTAAAAAAAGGGTTGGCTAAAGTTCAATTACGTGTGTAAAAAGAGATGAAATTATCAAAAACACATAAGTAACAATTCTGTTTTTGATAATTATACATTATTAGTAATCGCGTATTGGCCACTACTGACAACGCAACACATATTTCTCTCCAAGGCCCAGTTGTACCCTATCCTAGCGAGATCAACGTGTGGAATTATAGGGATCAGCGTTTCGGCTGCATCCCTTGGTTAAGACACGGTTGTTAGCCCTGAATATCAATTAGGAGGGATACGATGATATTATTATTACTATTATTATTATAGGGTGATGAGGGGTTGTGACTAGGGGATGGTAGATGTTAGGTGTGGTAGTGGGCGATGGGAGGTATTCGTGGGATCTTGGAACCATCCCAGCATTTGCCTTGTGACCTAGGGAAACCACGATAACCGCGGTCAGCATGGCCGGCGCGAAGATCGAACACGGACCTCCCGATTGCGAATCGAGCGCGCAATGTACTGAGACACTTCGGTCGGTAATAACTATATAATTATATGATAATTATATGAACAGTTCATAACAAAAAATAAGTTGGTGGAATTTAATTTGCCAGCTAAAACGTTTCAAACTAAACAATAACGAAGTAACTTGAATTTCGTACTTCTACTGACTCATCCATTAATCCTAGGAACATTTTGTTGCAGTCTCACGGAGCACTTTTGAATCAATCTAATTGAATCCAATGGAAAGCCACAGAGACGAACAATCGTAACCGCAACTCAATATTCGAATTGAATTGCCGCACATTACCCGAATCGGAAATCGCAATCACGATTAGAAGCAAGAAAGAGCAAAACGTGCAGAAACGTGATATTCTGCAGAGTGAATCTCCGATTACACCGCAAACCGGTAGCCCGTACATCCATTTGTCCTTTCACGTTCTGTCTGAGCCGGATTGCCAGGATTACGGGAGGGATGAGGGTCACGTGACGTCGCGGAATATAGCACAACTACGCTCTGTATTCACCGCCCCCCGCACCACCTACGTCGTCCGAACCATTCACGCCGTCCCAATAGTCTACGTCGCCCCCGCCTGCCGTGCATAGCCGCATGCAGCCAGCACTGCTTTCTTTTTCTTTAGTGCTTGCCTCTCCTCTTAGCTCCGCACATTCTCTTACGCGTTTCCATCACAGTAGTCCTACTTAACCTCGGAGTGTTGGCGTGAGTTGTCCGCATTCGCAGTCTACCAGTCTGTTGTAGAGCAACTTTTGTAACATCGCTCTTCTATCTTGCGAACCTTCTTTATTTCATTTTTCAACTTCTCCGAGGCAGAGTCATTTTCATTTAGAACCATCAACGATGATATCGATTACAATGGAAAGGCAGAAAAAAGAAGAAAATTCACCGAATGCTTTCCGCGGACCTGTATTCCCAAACAATTCCTCGTAAAATCAGCTGATGAAATATCTTCTTTCCTTCGGACGAGCCTTTATAACGCCGACACACCCTTCCCCCGTAAAAATCGTACAAGGCAAGCAATTATAACTGAGTGAAATCTAGTAATGCTCAGACTTTTGGCAATATTTACGCTTAAGAAGCATCGTTAAAAGGTAGGAGTCGAAATGACTCAGTTGGGCGTTCTAGGGAATAGAGACACTCGAAGGCCACCTAGGCTTGAGGCATCTCTTACACGCCGCAGAAAATCACACGATGCATTTGTGTAACAGGTAGCAATGGCGATTCTTCTCCAACCATCAAGTTCATCAAGCCTGAATTGTCATTGAATGAGCAGCTCGGCAACGTTCTATATGCGTATTACACAAACTAAGCTTGCAAGTCGCACTTGAGCGCGAATGCGCGCTTTTATAGGGCATCCAACACAAGCAAGACTCGCACGCCTAGCCTGAGCTGTGTCTAGGGCTCTTGAGTGAAAGTTGAGCGTTCCAGTGTTACGGCCGCCAAGCCGGTTTGCTCACCCCTGATCCGCGTCCCTCTCCCTCCACGCTCCACCCTCCTCTCTCACTCACACACGCACCTCCCGGCCGCGAAGACATTCCCAGCAGGCCGCGCGCCTGTCGTAAACAAAGGGTCGCATCCCCCGCCCTCTGCCGTTCGCCGCCCGCCCGCCCCCCGCCCGCCCCGCCCGCCCACCGCGCCGCCGCTCGCAGGGCCCCGCGCGCCCCGCGTCGCGATTGTCTTGCCCGCGCGGCGGCGGCGTCATCGCGGACATCTTCACTCCGCGGAGCGCGGCGCCCGCCCCGCCCCGCCCCTCACGGCGAAATAGAACGCAGGCCCCAAACGAAACAACCCCACTTCGTGCAATTGACCCGCACCTTCGATTCTTTGTCGCGATGCGCCAATGCACCGCTACCAGCAACATATATCCGCTGTAATTGTGGCGTTTTATACGACCAACTCGACAATGAAGTATTTACAATACAATATTATTAATCATTTTCTACATCATATTTTACACAGTATTATGCTTCTCTCTAGAGGCATATAATATTTCCTCTACCCCATTGCTCCCTACATCGCGTTGAACGTGGTAGTTTCCAATGATTCATGGATACCTCACGACATAAATATTAATTACGTACAGCCTCGTTCGGTGCGACCTGTTCTCGAGGTAAACATTATAAAAGTAGTTTAAGACCTAGAAAAATTGACAAAGTATTAAAACAATATTTTGAAAAAAGAATAAACCTAAAGCATTGTTCTTAGAAAAGCATTTAAATGTTACTGCAAAGAGATGAAATGTCTCATACACAGAAAAGACATTTTGGCAAAAGACGAGAGGCGGTTTGTGAAATTTACCCCCTACCCCAGCTACACTTTTTTCTATACTCCGTTTATTTGCATTTTGTTTATACACAGAAATTGTACAAATTGATAGAAAAAATAAGACAAAAGATGAAAAAAGAGAGAAAGTAAAATATAACGTAAATATGAGGAAAGAATTAATAGAAGGGGAAATGCGTTACTAACGCAAGTTAGGTGGGAATTAAACGAGAACAAAAAGGTTGAAACATCTGATTGGGAAATGGAAAGTTTTTGGAAAGATAAAGGTTACTCATTGGAGGAAATAAAGAGGTTCAGAAGAGAAGGAGGTCTCATTTAAGGTTTCATTTAAGGAATTGTTTCAAGGAAAGAAAGATCAGTTTTTACAGGTAGATAATGAAAAGATAAGAAACAACAAATATCCGTATAACAAATGGTATAAATTTATTTCGATGGGTTATATTTCTACATAAAAAGAAATGTAAGAAAAGGGGCAGAACAAGTAATGCAAGATATAGTTAAGGAATGAAACCTGAGCGAGTAGATATTGGTTAAATAGTGAGGGAAAAAGTGTATGGTCATTTAGTTGGAAGTCGAAGTACAGGAACACATATTACATAGGAGTATTTTTTTTCTTTAGGAAGAACGCGGGAAAGGCGGAATGTTCAGGATAAGGTGAGGTAGATATTGAAGGACAAAGGTAAAATGATAAACATAATACAGAGAAACAGAAAAGTGCATTTATTTAGCATATTATTGTACATACCGAATCTAATTATTGAATATTCACAATGCTGTAAAATAAATATTCATTGGACAAATTGTAAATTATATTACATGACAACTTTTGTGAAGAAGTCACCCAGTGTAAGCCTTCTCACGTAGAAACTAAAATACCAATCTTTAATCTTCAGACTTCAATTTATTGAGTAACGTCTTTCATTACGTCTGTTATCTAAAACGTTCATTTCTAGACAATTTGGGTGACTTTCTACTATTTTCCCAAGTTCCACGTTAGCCACTTTATTGCCACTAATGAGTCGGAATAACGTGTTCTGCCTGGCCATCTACATCCCTCCCCGCCGACGCTGCCCGTCCGGACTGAAGAGGCTCGGTGCGGGAGGCCTGTCGGCCGAGTTATCGACGTGAGCGGGTCCTCGGGCGTAGATTGATGACCGGTCGAGCGCTGGGAAGAAACGGAAAATACGCCTCCGTCGTTATACGGGGCCTCATAAACGGCACGGGCGGCCGGGCAATAATCTGACCCAGAATTCAGCCTCCACCTCGTTGGGAAAGAGGCCAGGCAGACGGACGCGAGAACTTTGCGCCGCTCACGACTTCGTCCGAAAAGCGGCTTTTATCACCGGGTGGAGAGGTTCTCCTAAAATACGTGCCATTCGAAGCGAACTCTTGAATGATAATTCAATTATAAATAAAGAGAACTCGCGTATTCGTTCTGAAATATACACGAAAGCAAAATTCGTCTGTCTCTCTCTTGGTGTGGGTGATAAAAGCCAAGCACACAAAGAGAATTTTTTAACTGACCTGACTACAAGATCGCCTCTCTAAATTCGATTTGCACTGAGAATTTCGAGGAAATTTTACTACCTGTAACGTTTCATTGAAATATATTAGTCCATTAATGTAACAAAGAGCACGGATATTTTCGTGGAAACATATCCTTTTTCCCTGCTATCCGTCTCGTGATGCTGCTTCAGTAGGACTTACTTCTTCACGCTACATCACTTTAATTAATACTCTCGCGAAGGGTTTTATTTCTGCCCTCAATGTCGCAAAATGACGCAAGATGGCGTTGTTTATCCTGACGAGCCCGAGACTGGATTGGACCATCGCAGATGGACCAAGACAATAGTGGAATCAATACGAATTACATGCGGCTGCTTCTCAGCTCCCGCGCGCGTGGAACGCATCGCAGCCCGTGTCGTATTCCCACGGAGATCAAACAATGGCGCGGCACGGCGTGTGCACAATAGGGACTAGTGCGGCGAAGGCGAAGCAGAGCGATGGACTAGGGCTAGGGGTCGCCAGCAGGAAGAGGGAACCCGGGGGAGGACGAAGTGGGCACGAGGGGACGGAGCGGTGCGATGGAAATGGTGGGAAAGTAAGGGGAGGCAATGGATGTGAGAGGTGGACACGGCAGAAGGAAGGGGAAGCAAGGGAAGAAAACAAACCGTTGTGCAAGGTAAGGGAAGGTTGAACGGGGTGGGAAGGGATGCGCGAGGAGGGAGGATAGGTGATGAGATAGAGTGGGAGCAATATGAGCAGTAAGGGTAAGACAGTGCGGAATAGGAACGGGTCGGTACCAAGCAGGAGCGGGTTGAACGACTTAAGGTGAAGGGTAGCAACACGGGACGAAAAGGGACAGGGTGGTGGACTGACGCTGAAGAGTTCAAGGAAGAAGAGGGAAAACAGGAAGATGGCGAAGGTGCACAGGGGCACTGAGGGGTGCACAGGGGAAAACAAGAGAATGTGTGGGCAGACAAATAACGTCAAAAGAAAGGGGAAACAAGAGAAGAAGACCAGCGACTGTGCAAAGGAAGGGAAGGTGAGAACGGATGGGAGGATAGGAGATAAGACAGTGCGGGAGAGATAAGGGCAGTGAGGGTCACTGTAGGATAGGTTGCGGACGGTTTGAGTCGGAGAGAAACACGTCAGGTCGAAACAGGACCGGGTTGAGCTGAATGTGGTGAAAGAGAAAGATGTGAGCCCAGGAGGACGAAGTGGGCACGCGGGCGTGGAGAGGTGCAATGGATATGGTGGGAATGTATGCGGAGAGAACAGAGGTGAGAAGGTGGGCACGGTAAAGGACGGGAAAGGATGAAAAGAATGTGCAAAACGAGGAAATGTGAAACAGTAAAAGGTTGGACGGCGCGAGGTGAAGAGCAGCGGAGCAAGACGGACGAAGACGGACAGGACGATTCGTATTGAACGGATGGAGAGCATAGACTAGAACGGAATAGCGGGTAGATCGGTGCGGGAGGCGGAAAGAACATGCGTGAAAAGAGTAGAAACTCAGGGCAAGCTGCATTTCGGGTTTGCGGTTGCCTGATGCGTTTCGCCCAACGGAGCATCATATCCCACGCCCCCGCCACACTCCGATGCGCGGCTATATCCACTTCGGTCGCTCACCAGACTCCTTCCCTCCCTCGCCGGAAGCGGAACCAGAAAATTTGCGCCCACCGGAAATGGGGAGGTGATGGTACGCGGACCGAAGCTGAGAAAGAAAAGTCACGTTACATCATAACTACCTGAGGCCATGATAATATTCTGAATCCAAAACGTACCCAAGTTTCTTTAGTTTGTATTATTTCGTTCGTATTATTAAACGTTTAGCAACTAGTGGGAAAGGATAGACTACGGCACAACAGCAATTATTAAATTTAATTAAACTGGAATAACTAGAATAGTTTTATGGCTTTAACTAATTCACATGTTACATTCCAACGTCAAACAACAGGAAGATTCATCTCCATAAACATTCACGATACTCCTCATTATGGATATCTGACGATTTACTTTATCAACTTACAAAAGTTATTCTGGAGCTGCAATATAAGCATTTGTGATCACATCGTTTGGCCGCAACCGAAAGATGTCCTGAATCTATAAAATGCCGAATATTTACAGACCCAAGCGTGAGGCGAATGAGGCTATCCCATCCCCAGACCATCAACATCACGCATAGGTCAGTAAATAACATTGGACCGCAAGCTCAACACACGCAGTCTTGCGGACAGACCCGCGCACTGTTCGCCTTCCATCCGTGAGCAGCAGGTCCTGGTCGACCCACGTGTAGTTTGCGATGGACAAAGTCGGTTCGATTCATTTTATAACGTTTCCCTTACCGCTCATTCCACCATTGCTTCACGATACTCATATTTAGAGACAAGATTTCAGTCTAGAATTGCTGGTCCAATTTACAGGATCCAAGTTTCCACACGTCTGGAGCGAGCACCTCCACGCTCACTCCTCTCAGGGGCGGATCCAGCCGATAATTTTGGAGGGTGCCATCACAGATTTCAGTTAAATAATAAAAACATTGTTATTGTATTATATATTATTTTTCAGCGTATACATGATAAGATACAGTAATATTTAATTACATAATTATAACATAAATATTCAAATTTGGCGGCGGCGATGGTATAACGGTTAGCGTACCGGTCTGTTGTACCCAAGTTGGCGGGTTCAAACTCAAGCCGTGGATTTTTAAGGGCGAAAAAATCCTTCGTACGCCTTCCTTCGGAAGGGAAGTAAAGCCGGCTGTCCCATGTTACTAGATTTACTCGCATGTAAAAGATCCTAAAGCTTAAATGACGCCTCTGAGCTAAATTGAAATCGTCTGTTTCTCCCTGCTAGTTGGTGAAAGGAGCGTAGCGAAATTTGCGTGGTCAGACGGAAGAGCATGCCTCATGGCCTGAGTCACGCCACGTAAAAAAAAGACATTAATTCAATTCAATTCTGCCAAATAAAATAGGTAACAACCGAAACCTCTAGGCCTTTTGGGGCAGGGGGTGAATCCGCCACTGCCTCCTCTGCACGGGATTGCAGCAGCGCGCTTCCTCCCCTCGGCGGCGCGGGCGTGTGCGTGCGAGCGAGCGCGACGCCACGGCTCATCAGGCGCCCGCGGCGCGGCGCAGCGGCCATTGCGGGCCGGCGGCGGGCGCCGCCATTGTTCGCGCCACGGCTGCGCGCGAGGCGATGCGGAAGGATCTCGCCGCTCCGGCTCCGTCAGCTTAGTCCGCGGCTTACGACTCTCGCCGGGAGGGCAAACTGTCACGGATTTTCGGTACTGGCTGTTTAGTTGGGTAAAATACAGCCCCTGCTGCCTGGAAGAGATCTAGTGGCTGGATGCTCTGATTGATAGTTTTTTTGTGGTTTCTCCTATCTACACCAACGCAGCCAGTACCACAAACGAGCCACTTCTTGTCCTACACTCTCCCCTGCCACACATACGCACGCACTTATATCACACATGTCGGGACAGCAGACGGGATCTTAACGCTTGCGTGGTCGGTGGCGGTGCCACGCTAGAGAGAGATACATGTAGGGGAAAACCTCGGCAGTCGGCGAGGGTCGGCTATAGTTCGGGGTTGGTTCTAACTATCGAGAGGGGAGGAACGTCACAACCTCCCGGTATAAAATAATAACGAACGAGGCTTTTGATCAAAGAAGTTGACGGACCTGAAAAATAAATCAATGTGACTCGCGAACCGCTCGTTCAAGAACAGCGGTTCTCGACACCCAGTCGAATGGATTGGCATGAAAACGATATTTTGCGAAAGAAGCCCAATCGGGAACGGAAAGCGGAATTGAAGCAAAGAAGCAGTTGGAACACAATTATCGTTCAATTACGAAACAAAACATCGACTTCTCTAAAGAGACGTTTGGCACAATCATACGCATCGTTTTTTTGTGAGTAAAATATTGTCTTATCACTCCACCAGTGAAATAGATTGAGTGTTTCTTCGATTTCATACACGAATGAAAACGACTATGGAAAATTAAACAACCTGCTAATGATCCATATCACAGGCTAAAAAATCGATGAACTCGAAAGAGGACACTGGGCCACCGAATGTGAGAATACATACAATTGCATAAAAATAACAATTATAATTCACACAATATTGCAATAGAGAGAGCAGAAACTTCACGGATGCCAATAAGGACACGAAATTTATTCATAAGGCATACTTCCGGCGCCAATAACATGCAAGCGCAATCGAAGCGGTACCTCGGGAAGTAATGTCACTTGCAGAACAACTCGGAACACGCTGAATTTGTTAATTATCTGTAACATATTCACAGAGAGAGGTATGCACACGAAATTTAAATGCGTAATTATATGATTCCTGAAATTATTTGTTGTATCTTTGGGAAAAAAATAGATACAATAATTAAGCTTCCAATAGAATATGTCAACAAATTAAGACGTTATAACAGAAAACAAAACGGCACTTAGGTAGGCACGGTAGATAAACCGAATTAACAGAAATAAGCGAACTTGTTCGGAAATTCAGCTCGCACAGAGAGTTGAGAAAGAACCAAGAAACAGAAAAAAGGTAACAAGGACAGTGCAATACATGGAATTATTCCACGTCACAAAAGCAGAACATACCGGGTGGCATCTTTCTCCTCCCACGCCACAGACACAGCGGCCACGCTAACCCCTCGTGCAAAGCCATGGAATACTCCTAGTTCCCGGAACGCCGCGGAAATTTCCGGCATGAATCGGTTCACAAGCACCTCTGAATAATAGACCAACTTCGTTTGAGTCCGCAGAACACGCGGGAGCCGCTCTGAGTAAAAGAGCCATAAAATAAAAGAAATATATTCACCATGCCCTGCACAATGGCGAAAGATAAATAAAATGTATCTTTCGCCGTTTTTTAAAATGTTTTAGACTTTTCGATGCAGGGCAAACGGTTTTGCGAGTGCGGGTAATGAAAAAGAATTCGTAATTGCCACAGGTAAGGAAATTGTAAAACTGTAAAAATGAGAATTTGTTTCACAAGTATCTGCTCAACGGAGCTATCATAGAAAATAAATGTCTGAAGTTAACATAATTAACTTAATACAAATAAGTTGTTTTATATTACATCCACACATCTATGAGATTTTATGTTCCAAATGCCAATTATAAAGACTTCAAGCAGAAACGGAGTCTGAAATCTTAAATAACGAATCCGTATTGTTGAATTGAATGAATTTCAGTAAGTTTAAAAAAAAAATATAGTATTACATTTTTTAACTAAAATTGAATGTTTGGAAACCTTCAACCATGTGTTGCTGAAATATAATACTGTACTATATACTGTTCACAACAATCTGCCCATGTGTAAATGAATTCACTATTCACGTGTCTTCCTCAAATTATGATAAAAGAGAGTAAACCACTGATTTATTTCTAAAAGTAAAAAACAAAATATAATGCAACGGTCCTCAACATTTGCTGAGGTTCTTATGATAGTATGCCGAGGAACGATAGTTGTTTGAATGATTTATTGTTATAGAATTGTTTAAATGAATTATTCATGACGGTGAACTAAACACAAAACTCTATTAATCGCGAAGTGTTCTACAAAGTATATTGGCTTATCTTGAATCTCTTGTAATACCAGAGAGGAAAAATTTGTAGACTATTTTCCAACAGAGTAGAAATTGTAGAAATACAAAAAAGGCATACCAACTAATTTTTTGCACTTCCCACTTGGTTAGACTTCTAAGAACAAGTCGATGAATAATTTCAAGAGTGCCATTATCCCCACTTCCAGATATTCTCGGCGGCGGGTCGGAAGCCGTAATCAAAGGCGACAGGTAGGGCTGCGGTGCAAACAAAACTTCCACAATATCGCGCCCGCAAGGAGGCGCCCGCGCAAGTGCAGGCGGGTGGTGGGGAGGGACAGGGTGCAACCGTAGAGCACGGCGCGGCGCGGCAGGGTAGGGTGGGAGGACATGGAAATGCGGAGGGGGAAAAGGAGAATGGGGAGAAGTGATAAGCGGTGTGAATGGAAGGTCGCGGGGTGTGGCGGCAAGGTGGCGCGAAGGAAGGTGGGCGGGGTGGGACAGGCGAAGTGAGGACACACGGGGATGCGCGAAGCTGGGAGAGGTGAATCGGTCCGCAGCAAGGTACGAAGAGCCGAGTGGCTAGATGGGGGCGAGGCGAGATGGAGAGACTGGGGGTCGGGGGGCCGAAGGAGGCGATGGCGTCTAGACTGCGAGCGGAG